GCACCGGCGGTGCCACACACCAAACCTGCCCTTCCCAGCCTCACTGGGATTGATCCACCATGCACTGGGGGCTCTGCCAGCTCTGCCTGGGGCAGGGTGAACAGTGTCACCTGAGAGAAGGTCACAGAGACACCAAGGAAAGTGACACTTCACCCAAAACTACCACCAGGTCTTCAGAGGGCAGAAAACTCCACAATCAGCACCTCAGCTACAGCAAAAAATTCCTGCAACTCCAGAACACTTCAAAGCAGGAAACTAACCCAAATCCACTCCCTGGGGGTAACACAGCATTTCTGATCACACCACAGCTCCCTCAGGAGCAGTGATCGGCCCCAAGAGGCAGCAGCACCCAAAGCAAACACAAAGAGAGAGAAGCAGGTCCTGGGCAGGGGCTGTGCCCCATCCTTATGCTCTGAAATTCAACTGAGGGTTTTCCAGGTGCTCCCAAAACCCACTGAGGCAGCAGAGCAGGGAGCTGCTCCTGTATCTCCCCTCCCTCAATCTTCTGTTTCTGGATTTCAGAGAGATGGGCACCAGCAAAACCTGGCAGCTGCTCTGCCAGGTCTGGGGGCACTGGGGGAGTGAGAACATTCTCCAAACAATCCAGGGGGAATTTGAGGAGGGAGAACATTCCCCAAACAATCCAGGGGGAATTTGAGGAGTGAGAACATTCCCCAAACAATCCAGGGGATCTGAGGAGTGAGAACATTCTCCAAACAATTCAAGGGATTTCAGGAGTGAGAACATTCTCCAAACAATCCAAGGGATCTGAGGAGTGAGAACATTCCCCAAACAACCCAGGCACAGAGCTCAGGGAAGGCTCTGGTGTAGCAGGGAGCAGCACATTCCCTCTCAGGCTGTGAGGGAAGAAGGAAACCCGTGATTCCCTGGCAGGTGGGTGTTTGGCTGCTATTCCTGGCTCATTGATGGAGCTCTGCAAATGCTGTGGGGACTGGGAGAGGTGCTCAGGCACTGCTCAGACTGAATCCACAGTAAGGAAAGCAGAGGATGAGCACTCTTTGACAGTAAGGATCTGGATAAAAGTGACAGGAACATCGGCCTGCAGTGGCAGCAGGAGCAGAGCACAGCACAGGGTTACAGCAGGCTCGTGGGGAACCTCCCCAGATGTGATGGGACAGGAGCACTGATCCTCCACAGCAGGGCCAACCTCACTGCACAAGGACGAAGGGAGAAATCCAAGGGAAACAGGGCATGGAGCAAACCCCAGGTGGCTCCATGAAGCACCAGGACAGCATCTCCCAGTGTCACCACCCGGTCCCTCTGCAGCCCAGCTGACAAACAGGAGCAGAGCTGCTGGAGCCAGAGAGGAAGCAGCCAGCAAGGAGAATCAGACACGCAGGGGAAAGCAGCTGAGAGCTCCCCAGGGGAGGTGAGTGCCAGCTGAGGGGCTGGGAGCTGGGCAGGGACAGGAGCAGAGGTTTGAAAACACATCCAGTATCAGGGAAGCCTCCAGAACAGCTGGCAGGGAAACAGGAACAGGAACAGAAACAGACAGGATTCCAAGGACTGGTGTTGGGAAGGATGAAAGTTTGACAAGAAATTCTCTCAGATATGTGTGCTTAGCAGAAAGATTTGTAAATGTAGAGTCTGATGAAGGAATAGAGATGAAAGCAAGTTTTGATATAGAAGAAAAGAATTGCTGAGCCAGTCTTACTGGCTAACCAAGGAGGCAAAGGGTGTGCTAGTTAGAAGGGTTTTTTATGGCTTAGAGCAAAGGATAAACCCACCCCAAACAAGATGATGTTTTTATCAAGCAGAAAGAGAGCACAGGCAAACAAGTCAGCAAAGCTGCAAGTAGAAAAAAGGTCTCAGAATTTTCCACTGCAACAAAACTGAAAAACAACTTCTAGCTTAAACTGTAATGTACTGACTTTTAGTGACTGGAGAACAGTACCATGAATATGGTAATTACAGTAGTTATGACAGGCTATAGGTAAAAGTTAAGGTATAGATTGGTTCTGCTGTATTAAGATGCTCAGCAAAGAAAAGTAAATAGAGCAAAGAAAAGTAAATAATGCAATATAACCTAAACTAAGGGTCTCCAGGCCTGCCTGCAGCTGGAGCTGACAGCTGTGGGCACAGCTCTGTCACCCACCACCCGGGGCTGCTGTGACATCTTGGATGGAATAAACTGCATTTTGGATACAATAAACTGCATTTTGGATACAATAAACTGCATTTTGGAAAGCTGCTTGGAGTCCTGTATCCCTCATTACAGCTCTTACACCCAGGAAGGTGCACAGAGGCACCACAGCAATGGCACAGGCTCACACCACAGGCCAACTCCGAAAGATCTGGCAAGAAAACTGAAGCCACTTTTCTACCAGTAAAGAAAATAACCAAAACCTCCTCAAAGTCCATCTTCTGATACAAAAGTTTCAAGCATTCCTATGGTGCCTTCCACACTGCTGCACAGGATGGGTCTCCAGCAGGGTGGGCACATTCCCTGAGCTTGGATATTGTCACTGCACCTGTCCTGACCATTTGGAATGCTCTGTCCAGTGCTTCCAAGGCCAGAGCATTCCAAACCCCAGACACTCACTGGGAGGGGGGCACCAGGCTGCTCCTGCTGCTCTGAGCTGTCCCTGGGCGTCCCAGGGCCCTCTCAGGCCTCCTGCACACCTCTCTCTGCTCTTCCCTCAGCATCCTGTGCAGGCTGTGCCAGCTGCCTGCCCTCCAGACGGCAGAACCTCTGTCCACAGCTCTGGGATCTGATCACTAACCAGGCTGCGCTTTAACAGCCAATTTATAACAAAATCCCATGTTTTATAAAGCTCCCAGGAGCAGAAGCCAACCCAAACCCTTGGCTCAGCTGTCACTGCCAATAGGAGGCTGAACATGGCAAAACCCACCTGTGAGGGACTCCAGGGGACAATCCAATTTTCCCAATTTTCTTTTTAGGAAAAATACCAAAAATAAATCACAAAGACAATTTTATCTGCTTACAAGTACTGCAAAAATTGTGCCAAGCAAGAGAAAGTTCCTCTCTGCCTATCTCCAGTCCCTTTAGTTTTCCCCCATCCTGCCTTACACAAAATGCTGCCCCAAAGCCCTGGGCCCATGGGCTGTCAGTGCCCGGGTGCAATCCCAGATCACAGCCTGGGATTTTCCACAGAATCACAGAATGCCCCGAGCTGGGAAGGACCCACAAGGATCACCCAGACCCCCACAACCCCCCCAACAACCCTGGCAGTGCTGCCCAAAGGCTCCTGGAGCTCTGGCAGCCTCGGGGCCGTGCCCATTCCCTGGGCAGTGCCAGCACAGGGATGGCAGAGCAGGGACAGGGATGGGCTCTGCACTCTGCCAGGACATTATTTCCTGCCCATTGACCAAGGCTCTGGGAACAGTCCCTGCCCGAGTGCTCAGCTTGAGGCAGGAACACAGCGTGGCCCAATTTCTCAGCGCTGTGCAGAATTATATAAATGCCTCAAAGCCCAGGAAAAGAGGGAAGGAACCTGGGTCAGCCCAGTGACTGCTGTTCATTCCAGCTGAGCTGGCTGAGCTGAACATCCCTCCCCAGCTCCTGCTGCCCCAGAGCTGCTGCTGTGGGATGCTGGAATGCTGGAATGCAGCAGGACACCTCCAACCATAGAACCATGGAATGGTTTGGGTTGGGACTTTGAAGCTCACCTCCTTCCATCTTCTTGATATGGTCAGGGACACCTTCCACTGGAGCAAGAACCAATTAATTTTATATATATATATATATATATATATATATATATATATATATATATATATAAAAAAAATATATATAAATTATTTTTATATAAAATAATGAATTATATATATTATATATATATAATTTTTATATATTATTATATATAGATATATATGTATCTCAAGTGACATAATTTCTTG